TTCGACACAGTTTCGTAGTCGGAGCCGTGGCCATTAGAACGTGTTGTGATGTTTGGACCGCATGATGAACAAAGCGACCCAAATGGGGGATGTTGAAACCCTCCTGGCCCCGTGCCTAAATTGGGAAGCTGTTCTGAGGTCCGTGTTGGTGTTGATTACATGGTTCCATTGATTGCCAAATTTGGCTCAAGTCGCAAGTAGGGTTCAAGGTCTTGCATGAACTACGTTTGTACGTGATCGACCATAGAGAGTGGAAAATACTTCATTCGCGCTGCAGCTGCCGGGAACACCATCGTGGTTGTTGGTCCTTATCCCTTACAACAGTTTACACGGGTTCGGCTATAACGGTTTGACCGTATACGGTTTGGTGGACAGCCCTTGCCGTCTCTTGACAGTAGCCTACCAGGTGCAATAGAATCCGTTTGGGAAACTCCCTCTGAAGAGAGAGGCGCAGGAACCAAAGAGGGGAGGGGCAATGCCAGGGTGGAAAAGGAGCAACCCAATACGGTGCCGCCACCTGCAGCGGTGACGTCCACTTTGAGCCAAAAGGCTACGGAGGAGAACCAAAGGAGGCGCAAAACCGTGCAAACAATTGTTAGCCCAGGCCGTCCGCACATACGGCCTGGGCCAATCCGAGTTGGAAGGCACAAAACCGTGCAAAACAAGCTATTCTCCCAGTCCGTAACTCGCACAGATGCCCCGGAGAATCCGAGTCGGAAAGCACAGCGCGGCCAAAAAAACTGGCCCGTAAAAAAAAATGCAAGTTGGGCAAGACAACAACAACAGATTACGAAGGCCGCGGACGGCGGCGCCCGGGCTTGCACGGGGGCGCAACAATGGAGCCATCGTGCTGAACTTACGCGGACCGGGGGCCTACGCGCTGCTCTTGCGCGCAGACGGGCAGCTGACCCGGGCGGGGCAGCACTGCTACTCGCGCCTGGGCCTGCGCGCTCCCAAGGACTTCACCACAACCAGCCGCTGATCTGGGAGGGCTCGAACGACAACATCCTGCTGCGCAACGGGCGGAAGAAGCGCTCCTGCAGGGCGGGGAGCGCCGGCTGAATCTGGGGAAGGGCTTCTTCCGTGACAAGAACACGTACCTGGTCCACGTGCCGGTAATCGTCCGGGGCAGAAGGCGCAGGGGCGGAATGCGGGGGCGGCTACAAGCGCAGGACTGGCTGTCGGTGAACAAGCTGAGCGGAGCCACGACGAGCGCAGAGGCCACGGAAAGGATGTAAGACTGGCCCGGATCTATCGGGGCTACGGGGGAGCAGCGGCGAACCGGGCCCTGGGTCCGGAAACCTTAAAGCTGCTGGAGCTGAAGACCCAGGTCGTCCACATTTGGGATCTACGAATCAGTAACAACCCAAAATGGTTGTTGTCAACCCGCAAGAACCCAAAACAGCCCCCAGAGCGGCAGGCTGGGTTGGGCTGGGAATCAAACAGATTTGTTGGAGGGATCAGATTGACTTGTTCACTTGCAGAAGCATCAAAAAGACTTCAGATTGGCTTGTAATGGGGGTCGGAAAAACTTGTGGGGGATCAGATTGACTTGTGGCCGTATCATCCTCTCATCGTCATCGGCATTCATCATCATCATCATCATCATCATCATCATCATCCATCATAATCATCATTATCATCATCATCATCATCATCATCATCATCATCATCCATCATCATCATCATCATCAGCATTATCATCAGCATCATCACGATCATCATCATCATCGTCATCATCATCATCACGATCATCTCATCTCCGCATTATCATCAGCATCATTATCATCATGATGATGATGACGATGATGATGATGATGGTGATGATGACGATGATGATGATGGTGATGATGACGATGATGATGGATGATGATGATGCTGATGCCGATGATGCTGATGATGAGGTGATGATGAAGATTCTATATCCTCCATTTATGATTCGTGTTGCCCGGTCCAGCAGGGCAGGCTCCGTAATTGATTTTGCACAAACTTTATCAGCAGTAACCCTGAACTACCAGGCGCAAACTTGAGGATGATGAAGATTACGCTGATGGTCGTGATGATGATGATGGATGAAATGATGAGGATGACGACGATGATGATGATGATGATAGTGATGATGATGATGGGTAATGCTGCTGATGATGAATGATGATGATGATAATGATGAGGATGACAAAGATGATGATGAATGATGACGATGATGACGGTGACGATGCTGATGATTTTGATGAAGAATGATGATGATGAGGACGACGGTGATGATGATGATGAGGGTGATGATGATGATGACGCCGATGATGATCCTGGATGCCCATGATGATGATGATGATGATGATGGATGATGAGAATGATGATGATCCGATGATGATGTTGACTGATGATGATGCTGATGATGATGATGATGGATGATGAGAATGATGATGATGCTGATGATGATGATGATAAAAGTGATGATGATTATGGATAATGCTGCTGATGATATGCTGATGATATGCTGATGATATGCTGATGAATGATGATGATGATGATGATGATGATGATGATAGTGATGAGGATGACGACGATGATGATGATGAATGATGACGATGATGACGGTGACGATGCTGATGATTATGATGAAGAATGATGATGATGATGAGGGTGATGGTGATGATGATGATTCCGATGATGATGATTGATGATGATGATGATGATGATGATGATGATGATGATGATGATGATGATGATGCGACGATGATGATGATGATACTGATGAATGATCATGATGATGATAATGATGATGATGATGATGAGGATGATGACGCTGGTGCTGATTATGATGATGATGACAATGATGATGGTGATGGATGATAATGATGATGATGATGATGATGATGGCCGCCTTGTGGGCTTGCATTGCATCCGCGTATTACGCCAGCATGCTTTTTCCACTGAAGTGGCTGCAAGGGCACATGCGAGGACGCTTTCCTCCAGCTCGTCAACGCCTAATAGAAAGGAGCTGAACGATTGGGTCGGTCGGGTTTTGGGTTCCCCTTTTATTGCCTGTCCCCTCTTGGCTGCAAACAGTGAACAGGATTCTAACCTTGCTGCATGGGTGTCAAAGCCAACGAAGACGGCTGGGAAGCATGCAGACACCTGGCGAGTTACTTGGTAAGCACAGAATTCTATGGTTTGCTCGTCAAGAGTAGCAAGTGCGGGAAGTCCATGCTGGACATGAGAGAAATGCAGGATGTGGAGGTGAAGAAGGTGCGCTTGTTGGAGGTGGTCACGGATAGCGACTACGCCGGGGACCAGAACTCAAGGAAGACTCGTGGAGAGCAGGGTGCGGCCATAGTTGCGGGATGTAGTGAAGGACTTTTCCTTCGGCATGTGTGGTCCTTTATCCGAGGCCATACGCCATCCCTGGTATGCAGGACGGACAGCAGCGCAGCCCAAGGCATGTGTGGAAAAGTTGGGATGGCAGGACTCGTCATCTGGACACAGTTATGATGTGGCTGCAGCAGAAGTGCCACGAGAAGGTGATCAAGGTGACGGTCATTCCAACCAGTTTCAACAGCAGTGACATCGGCGCCAAGTTGCTTGCAAGTGCAAGGCTGCGCGGACTCATGTTCATGATTGGCATGGTCGACGAGAACAACCGCAAGATTGGCAATAATGAGTTCCACAAGATCGAGCTTTGCCAAAAAGATCCTGGGCACCTTGAAGGACGACTACCCAATGGTTCTGGTGGTGGCTTTTGCCAATTTCGCAGCCAACGGAGCTAAGGTGGAGGAAAGCGAGCCCAATGGAGCGGAGAAGGAAGATTGGATTTGGATTGCGCTGGCCATTTTCTGGCGGGCATTGGAGCCTTGAGCCTAGGGCGATGTATTTGGCGTTTCTTCATCATGAAGTTGCGGAAGGAATTGGGCCTCTCCAGCAAGGCAACGATTCCGGACGATGCAGACAGCGAAGTGAAGAGGATCAAATCGGTCCGGATCACCCCTGCTGGGACGGTGTATCACACGAATGAGCAGTGCCCGCACTTCAGGCACGCAAAGCAGTACAGCAAGTGCACTAAGTGACTAAGTGCTGTGGGTTTGAAGGCAGCATGTCAGAGTGATTCGGGATTTCAGTCATACCCACAGCATGGCAGTGCATTTAGATCACATGTGCGTTCACCGCATTGGAGGCTCTAATAGCCACAGAGAAAAGGCGCCACCGTCCGCTCGACATTGTGGGCATGTGTGTGGCCCGCCGCAGCTGACGACGAGGATGCTGCAGCGCCAGCCGAACTTGATTCGCGGCCAGACTTCAAAACCAGCGGCGACCCCCAAGATGACTCCCGCGAGTTGGCCATGATGTAGCCTGCACTGATTTCAGCGCGCAATCTACTTGGCCCCAGTTTCTGAATCTTTGTTTTCCTGGCTGCTGCAACCAAGCTGCGAGTAACAATGTTGTCTGGAGTGGAACAGCGCAATGCAGAGCAAGAGGCTCCCATTCGCTCAGCATCAGTTCAACAAAAAGTCACAAGGGGCGGTAGACACACCAAATTCGAGAGTCCTTCCACGTCCAAATTTCCCTGGAAAATTCTGAGCACATCGCGACATCTTTCTGACAAGGCGCCACGGCCAGTACGTCCCTGATTCTGCGATTCTGGCAGGGGCTACGTGTGTCGACCGATTTATCAAGGAGTTCTTTTTAGAGCAAACCAAACAACACACTGCATATACATGTTCATGTGTCGGGTGTTCGGATTCAGCACGTGTTTCGGGAAGTTCGTGAAAACTGTTTTGGCTGTCCATGAGTCAGACATTGACACCTGAGTATTTTTGTTGGGACTGCTGCCTTCGTTCTCCTGGTAAAAACAATGGTGATTTGCCAACTTATTTATTGGGTGTTCCAACTTGAAGTATGTCTTGCCTTGTGCGTTGTTTGTTGCCATCGTCACCTGCAATTTTGGAGGTGAACGTGCCTGGTTTTGCGGGCAGAGGCCTGCGAAAGGACATCCTTGAGCTCCAAAGATTTGGCTCAAATGTGACTTGCCCCACTTTGGGGGATGCCCGCACCTGCGCGCATGCCGTGTTGCGCTGAAGCCTTACATGGGCCATCGGAGAAGATCCAGGCGGGTTCGGATCGCTGGACGGAGTCGGAGGGCTTTTCTGGCAATCCTCGTTGGTGCATCCGTTGAGATGCCTTTGATTGCCTTGTCTCATTCTTTGAGAAACGGGGAGCTCTGCCTTGATTCAGAGGTGACTGAGACCCGAGGAGGGACAGAGAAACTGTGAGGCCAGAGAAAGAGGCGCCTTCGTCATGGAGGAGAAGACTGTGAAAAATGCAGCCCCCCGGGAAGGATCTGGCGTTCCACATCTTAAGTTATCTCTGTCAGCGTTACATTGGCAGCAAGACGCTTGTTCTGCACCCTCCGAGCAGCATTTTGTGACTTTGTGAAAAAAAAACAGAAGATCTGGTATTTCATGTTGATGACAACCCAGGATGATCGGACTCCCTCTTGGTCGATATGGACATGTTTCATTACAGAGGTTGAACCCGTCGTTGTAGCGTAGCCTAACAAAAGGGGGGGGGGGCACTAAGTTTTCCCATGTGCTTTTGGAGAACAACGATCATTGTCCGCTATCCGGCAACTCAGGAGCAGGCTCTCGCTAGCATATCGTCTTTGATTGAAGAGGTCGAAGCGCTGCAATATGAGAAACCTTTTCATGGTGCAGCACCCTGGCCTTTGGGACATGGGGGCATCGGTTTCCAGGATTCGGCTTCGGCAAAATCAAGCCCGAACAAAGTACCGAGTCAATCGTCGGCTGGCAAACAATAGTGCCTCCTAAAGGGCCCAGGTGCCATTTTGCGCGCCTTTGGCGCATTCTTCCAAAGGGGGCTGTAGACTTTTACACATTTGGGTGTCTTTTTGGGCTTGGTGCCGCTTCTTCGGTTGGTCTTAAACCAGCCAGTTCGGGGATTCGTCACATTTTCATTTGCAGACACACCCGCGTCCTCTTTTTTTGTTTTTCCTTGTCCAAGGAGCGTTGGGAGCCCGAGAAGATGCAACATCTGCAGCCGCAGGTGATGGACAGGAGTGGCGGCAGCCAACCCGAGCAGCTTAAGAAGTGGGATGAAAAACCAGCCGCTCGAAGACCAAAGACAAACCGCAAGCCATTGAAGGGAAGATGGAGATGATTGGACATAGACACTTCTCTTTACATTTTCTTTTTCGGTTGTGACTCATTGAGGCACGGGTAGCAGAAGCAACTCGCCCAAGCAACTCCCATACAGGAAGGATCAGACATTTCACCCAATTGACTCTACTTCTTAGGTCCTCGCTTGAAGAGGTAGACGGTAGACTTGATGATTTCGGGGGGAATTCTCGATGCTCCCATTGTGGCCGTTGATTTTGTGAAGTGCTTAGAGGTTGTCGCTAAAAGTAATGTTCCCACCAAATCCTCTTCAACACATGAGCAATTTCGGGAGAGCAACTTGGCGTTCGAATTCCAGAGCGCGATTCGGGCAACTACCGTGGCTTCAGGCACTCTTTGAACTTGGATCAGTTGCTTGGAACCCCCGATGAAAGCCACCAAAGCAAACAAGCCGAAAGCTGGAAACATGTCTGCCAAGCGTATTTGTCCCCGATCAAGGTGAAGCCGGCCAGTGCCATGAGAAGGTATGAGGCGCTGATGCAGCCTCAAGACTCAGGACTGGCTTTGCTCCGAGTTTCGGTTTTTTCCCCGCGTTAACGCCCTGCGTTCAAGTCTGGCTGGGGTAGTCACAGATATGTTTTTGGGAGGTGCGCATGGCTCGTGATGCCATTCCAGGCGGTGCCCTTTGCAAGCCAGGGTTCTCGTTTTGTGGGGCTGGTTTGAAAGTCGCCTTTGGGCCCCAGTGGCTTTGAATTGGGGTTGATGTCAGGGAACATGTCGGGAACCCCGACAGCGGTGGCCTGGGAATGGCAGGAGAGGTGAAGCGAGGCCCCACGTTGAAGGAGGATGGCTTCCTGCCATGCCTGGAGTGGCAACCTGCCCCGACTTTTTGATGGCAGGAGTCAACAGACATTTGTTGGAACCTGTAAAGGAGCTCCCTTGTTAGAAAATCCCATCCCGGCCCAAGATGGACGGGGTTTCTCAGGCTTGGAACGACACTCCCAACCAGAAAAAACAACAGCTTCAGGCTTGAATATGGTTTGGACACCTTCTTGCCTGCCGTGTTTCTCTTTTCAGTCAGGCGCTAGTGCTAACTGCTGGGTTCAAGAACAGGTTTTACTGTGTTGGTCACGAGCTGAGTGTATTTTTTTGGGTTCGTGTCATGGGGGGCATTGGGGACGCACCAAGCTTCCGTGACCGATTCTCAGGTGGTGTCTGAGCATCGTGAGCCACAGATACTATGACTATGTGATTGGTTTGCTCATTCTAATCAACTCCGTATTGGTCGGAGTAGAGGTACAATTGAGCCTGGAAGGTATTACAATAAGCTGGATGCAGCCATTGGACAATGCTTTCATTGCGGTGTACTGCTTGGAGATTGCCATGCGTCTCATAGCGTATGGCTGGAAGATGTGTTTTGCGGATACCTGGTTCCTGCTTGACTTCGTTCTTGTGGTCCTGGGTCTTATCACAACCTTAGTCCTAGAGCAACTTGGCCGCACGCAGCTGCAACATGGCTGCCAAAAACAACGTGGCTGCATGTTGTTTTGAGTGCGATGCCGGTGAGGTTGGGTGGGGGCGAGATGGGCATTTTGGAATCAGTCTTGGTGATTCGAGCTATGCGCTTACTTCGGCTGATCCGGGCCTTGCGCATGCTCAAGTACTTCAGCAGCTCGGACGACTGCAGCCGCAAACTCTTGTTTTGTTTCGGTGAAGCTTGCATATGTTCAGCTGACTCAGGAACTGTTTGGCGGCTGGTATATGGCCTGCTGACGTCGCACAACGCCATGTTCTCAACGATGGCTCTGATCCTGCTGACTTTGTATATTTTTGCTTGCCTTGGCGTGGAACCATGTCCGATTTAGTCTCATGGGATCTCCTTTGAGTCCTTTATTGGGAGTTGCCGGTGGAACTTGGACTGTGGCTGTGTTTTGTGCGGTTGCATTAGTTGGGAATGGTTCGACAAAGGAGGATTTGTCGAGCTGGAGCAGAAAAAAAGGGAAAACAAAACATAGCCAGTGGCACAGCAATCCAATCTCTGTTTAGATCAGAACTAACATAAATTGCCAGGAAAAACGTCAAAACGAGATCCTCTTCAATTTCCGCATCAGGCAGAATCAGTTGCGACAATGTGCACAAATGCATCCATCCCCTGTGTCACATGTTATGCACGGTGCCAGTTGCTGTGACAATTCTTACAGGACACCCGACTTGTCAGCAAACAAGCCAACTGTTGTTGTTTAACGGGAAGTATACAGTAAACCAGCCACTTGAATGGCCCCTATGTTTGGAAGCAACCACATCCAGCTTTGTCTGCTTGAAGTGTTAGGAGCTGATCACGAAAGATGACGACCTGGCGACACATCCTGACACACAGCTCATCGTGGCAGTCAATTTTTCGTCAGTTCCTGGAACCATGTTGACCCTCATGCAGTTTGTGACGGTAGATTCCGTGCTGCCCTCAGGTCTTGACTGGCGGCGCAATCGAGTCGTACCGTTTGTGCTTGCTATTTGAATAAACGGGTTTGTCTCTGTCTAGGGGCTTCCTCCAAACGGACCGTTTCCCTTTGCTTTCCTTTTGATCAACCCAGACAGGGTACCCTAAAAAGACACCCAAATAAAAGAAGCAAGATCTGGGCGGGTCCGAGAATGGAGACGAGCCCAAGGATCCTGTAACAAGCGCAGGTCGCCTACTTCTATCTGCCCCTCATCCATCGAAAGCCCATACTGGCGCTCTACTTTTGCGCCTGAGCCCCAGAGATAGGGACTGTCAATCCTCCGAAAACCACATGCCGAAGCAAGGTGGCATTTGTGTTCGCCCAAGGCCATTGTGCTGATCGTGTCCATCGCGCTCATGAATCTTGCCAGTTCTTGAGTATCCTTTTATGCCAGCGTCACATTTTTTAGGTTGGTGGGGCTTGCCGGAATGCAGCTTGCTCATGGCTTCCCCTTTTCATATTTGAACAATTCTTCAGAAGGATTCCATGAATCATGTCCTATTTTCGTAGGCGTGTTCGTCTATGTTGAGCTTTCTTTGTTGTTTAAAGGGACATCAACAAGAATCCCTGCCATTGTGGGGTGTTTTCTATTTTTGGGTCTTCCCCCCTCATTTTGAGACAATTCCAGATGATCAGGACCAAGAACAAGATGACATCACACTTGTGTTGCAACAAAGCTGCACAATTTTACATCCTCAATTTGCAAGCAAACGCCATGTTACAAGCTCCAACATGCCTCACCCCCTTGATTCACTCGATATTGGGGATGGTTTGAGCAAATCAACTGACCCATGGAGGCAGAAGTTCCGATCGAAGCGAATCCACACTTGTCGAACCTGAGAAGTTACCAAGGGAAGTTTCCCAAGCAGAGTTAGAAAACCAGAGCCAGGGTTGCTGAGACAGGTGCCACGGTCGCACACATGAAAGGTTCTGTGCACAAATACGACAACCGGCTTTCAAACAAGTGCCATTTCAAACATGACTTGGACAATGATGATGTTGGTTATATTCTTGAGCATTGTACATTTGATCGTGGAGAGTTAGAGGACACACACACACACAGCAAAGTTGCGGATTTGGCCAGAAGACGCCGGAGAGTCCAAACTTCTGCTCGCTCAAGACGCAGATGCGCCGAAACAGCCAAATCCCCTCTGAATTAGCAGGCCCCCCTCAAACTACGCGCTGGGTCCGACCTTGCCTCTGAACAAATGCTGGACACATTTGCCCGTAGAACATGTGTTTGCACAGAAGCAAGAAACCGCAGGCCAGATGCATATCATTGCTTGAGCGCAACATGTAGGCGCCGAAAGCCTTCTGTGACAAGGATTCCGGACACTCCAAGCTCAAGAGAGCTAACTAAAAATGTTCTTTCGCCCGGTGCAGTTTCGGAAGGCAATCGTTTTTTTTCTTCTTCTTCTTCTTCTTTTTTTTCTTCAGAACACTCGAGGAATCTGGTCACAGCGGTGCTGGTGGAGGGAGCGCTAGAAAATGCCCAGAACGACAAGGCGGCTGAGAAGATGGACCTACAGGAGTCTGGGGCCGGCATTCTGGTGCGAAAGAATGGCGGGGGACATCGCTGGAAGAACTCCTTGCATTTTTTGGCTTCTTGTTGATTTCCCTCCCTTCAAAGATGGCAACGGCTCACGGGCACGAGACAGGTTCATTTGTTCGACATGGGCCTGGGCAAGAAACAAGGCTGTGAAGATAGCTCCAGCATATATTTGTAGCCCCATCCTGTCTGTCTGTTTGCGGTCATTCTAAGAGCCGCCGAGGCGAGAGTGCTGTGAAGGACAGACATAACCCTGCCAGCACAAAGGCTTCTTGGAACCCAACCCGAAGAACGCGCCTTTGGTCGTGAGATCCACCGAGCTACCTGGATAAGTCACCTGGTTGATTGGTGGGCTGCCCATGTAGGGGATCAAAAAGGGGACACCTGCAAGGAATCCAACAGGTTCTGCTTGGCTGGGGGGTTCCCATCGCTTTGAGAGATCCGAAGACAACAGCCTCAGGAGAAGCTGCGCCGCGCTGCCGCTCCGCAGAACAACCAAAGGGCTGCCCCGTTTAGTTTGGGCTTGGAGAGACGCACATTTTTTTTTTGTTCTTTTTGCTTTTTTGGCGGTTCTTGGTTTGAAGGTGTACCTGATTCCATCAGAATTGTGCAAGTCGAGCAAACGCTGGATGGGTTCTGAGGGCTATTCTCGAAGGTGGCCCTCGATTTGGCTATCTCTTTGTTTGAAAGGCCCTCTCTTGTGAAAAATGGGTAAACCACCAGGACACCTCCATTTTTTTGGTTTGTATTGTGAGACAAAGCCCATTTTTGGTTTCCTCAATATCGAATTGGGATCAAGTGGAGATGGCCTTCCGTCTTGACGGATTTGCGCGAAAAAGAATCCATTCATAGAGTCTGACTTCAATGACGCGCACAAGACCTTTGCGGCATGGTCGCTTGACCGGGACCGACCGCAATCAGGGTTTCGGGATTCTGGACTCAACATTGCTGATAGTGCATCATTGCAAGGGGTGGCGGAGTGGCAAAGTTGGGAGCCGGCTGTTACAGTGCGCTTTGCTTGAGACCGTGCATCGCTGCCTGACCCAGGTCCCGAAGCTTCGTCAAGTCTTCCTTGCAATGGATGCCAACGGCGATGGAAATGTGTCTCTGGAGGACCCATGGGCAGAGTGGAAGCTCCGACTTGAAGCGGCAACTGTCAAATGCCAAGCTGTTGGAGCCCAGGGGATCTTTGAGGAAGGTGCAATACCTTCTTGGCCGGAGCTGCTCAATTGTGGAAGCAACGATATACGACCACGGCAAACCACGCAAGCTAGCAGCAAGAACAAGAAGAACAACACAACACGACAGCACAGGCAAGGACAGGACAAGAGACCAAGAACAAGCGCATAATCTCAGTCCAACACAAGAAGAGAAAATGAGAATCTACATGCACACATACACAGCAAGACAAACATAAATTGATCGAGACATCAGCAAGAACCACAAGCGGCAGCAGCAGCAACAACAATAGTGCCAGCGACAGCGGCAGCAACAGCAGCAGCAGCAGCAGCAGCAGCAGCAGCAGCAGCAGCAGCAGCAGCAGCAGCAGCAGCAGCAGCAGCAGCAGCAGCAGCAGCAGCAGCAGCAGCAGCAGCAGCAGCAGCAGCAGCAGCAAAAGCAAAAGCAAAAGCAAAAGCAAAAGCAAAAGCAAAAGCAAAAGCAAAAGCAAAAGCAAAAGCAAAAGCAAAAGCAAAAGCAAAAGCAACAGCAAAAGCAACAGCAACAGCAAAGCAACAGCAAAGCAAGAGCAAAGCAAGAGCAAGAGCAAGAGCAAGAGCCAGAGCGAGAGCGAGAGCAGAGCGAGAGCGAGAGCGAGAGCGAGCAAGAGCAAAGAGCAGCAAGAGCAGCAAGAGCAAGAGCAAAGAGCAAGAGCAAGAGCAAGAGCAAGAGCAAGAGCAAGAGCAAGAGCAAGAGCAGAGCAAGAGCGAGAGAGCGAGAGCGAGAGCGAGAGCGAGAGCGAGAGCGAGAGCGAGAGCGAGAGCGAGAGCGAGAGAGAGCGAGAGCAAGAGAGAGCAAGAGCAAGAGCAAGAGAGAGCAAGAGCAAGAGCAAGAGCAAGAGCAAGAGCAAGCAAGCAAGAGCAAGAGCAAGAGCAAGAGCAAGAGCAAGAGCAAGAGCAAGAGCAAGAGCAAGAGCAAGAGCAAGAGCAAGAGCAAGAGCAAGAGCAAGAGCAAGAGCAAGAGCAAGAGCAAGAGCAAGAGCAAGAGCAAGAGCAAGAGCAAGAGCAAGAGCAAGAGCAAGAGCAAGAGCAAGAGCAAGAGCAAGAGCAAGAGCAAGAGCAAGAGCAAGAGCAAGAGCAAGAGCAAGAGCAAGAGCAAGAGCAAGAGCAAGAGCAAGAGCAAGAGCAAGAGCATTGCATTGTTTTGAAGCAGGCGCTTGATGCAATGAGCAACGCCCAGCATTCTAACTGCAACAGCCATCCTACAAGCTACTCCAGTCACCAGAAGGAGGAGGCAACTAGCAAGACGACACCCAGAATGAAGCAAGCAATGGTAAAGCACACGGCTACAGTGTGTACAGCCAGGCATCGCAGCAACAACCGCATAAGCTTTACGTACACAAAAGTGCAATGACCTTACTAACGAAGAAGGCGAAGAAACGAAGGAGAAGCACATCGAAGCTGATGTAGCTTCCACACCTGCCGCCGCTGCCACAGTTGCCTTGCCATAGGTGTCTCTTTTTGGTTGTTTTAATGGAAGAATAGATGGCCCTGGTTTAAGTGGTGGTTTAATCATCTACCAGGGAAACCCATCTATTTGCCCTAAAAGGACACCTCTGTGCCTTGCCTTTTCATTTGTTACGGCTTTATCATGTGTGCTGTCGCTGCAGCTGCCGCTCGAAGGATTCCCCCAAGTTCTCGCAGCGCAGTGAACCCAACCATCAGTGAACTCATGGTGTGCAACACTAAAAGCGAACAGCACAGAAGGCATATTTTGGAAACACATGCATGCACTCTCCGAACGGTGCCCTGGAGAACGGAAAGACATGGTGCGCCACAAATCCGTCTTTTACATGCACACACACAGTGTATGCTTTGACGCCCTCAAAAATCCACAGTACAGATAACACAACAATGAGCATCACCAAGAGCGATCATAGCCAGAAGAGAACACCATGAGCACCACTGCTCCCCCCGACTGATTTTTGCGCCAGGAGATTGAAGCTGTCCCCATGGATGTTCTACCTCAAGAGTTGTTTGAGAAGAGCGCGGTGAGCAGCATGCAGGACTTTCTCGGGCTCCCGTGTTTTTGTGCACCACAATGGATGTGGGGGGAAAGCAGTTCAATCATCCGGATCCTGGTGCCAGTTTAAATGGACAACTAAAGGCGGTTGTTTGACCAAGTTTTTCTATGTTTGAACAAGAGCTGGCCCCACCCTGCAACGCACCCTATTCCTGCCTTTGACCTGCGCAAAGAGGGAGAATAAATCAAACTACCAGAAAAGGGGGGGAACAAGTTGGTGAATTCTTTTCCCACTTCAAAACTTGTCCTTCCCAGAGATACAGCCGAGTCTTGTTGGTGAATTGGACAATGCCTGGCTATGTTGCGGTATACGCACAATCATTTCCTATCAATCAGCTTTCATCACAGCGCAAAGACTGTTTGGTAAACGTATGCAATTCTTGTCGTTTGCATTGTTTGGAAGACCATGCTTCTAACATACAATGCCTTGTTCCGTACCAGAGTTCGCTGTGCATCCTGTCCGGTTTGTTAGCAAGATGCAGCTAAATGTAAGAACCGTGGGTTTCCACAAAGTTTGGACACACTGCCCTTCCAGGAAATCTTTGAAGTGCTCGATGTGGATGGAGGTGGGGAGCTATCGCAAGACGAGTTTGCCTGAGCCTCAGAGCCTTTGGCAAGTGCCGACTACGTGATTCAGCCAGAATTCCTTTGTTGAGTGGACTTCCCGTGGTCCTTGCAAATCCATTTCAGGCAGACATGTCGCTGTGCCACTTATTCCTAGTTTTGGGGTCATGTTGATTGCTTCAGTAGTCGGAACGCTGTGGACCTTGAGATTGCTTTCGTTTGTGCTGCAGAGGAGCCATTTCTGGCCTTTGCGGTGGTAAAAAACCCGACCAACGGCCGCTTCAGGTGGATGGACTCCTGGACATCTTCTTCCGCGATATACCGCTCGAGATCCCGGGCCAAAGTTTTTGTGACCTGAAGAACCAACTCCCCAACCGCAGCTTTGCCCCCGCATGCACATGATGTTGGCAGCTCGTTTGGGTCAGGGCAGGTCATGAGCCGTCCCATGCTTCAGAGATATTGTTCAATCAAAGAGCCAGTGCGAGTTGTCGCGTACAAAGACATCCTCAGCTTTCATTTTCGGATTACTTTGGTTTTCCCCAACAGCCAGGCCAATCCTTCGGGGACAGTCGTGGCCCGGGCTGCTGAGGACAGTTCAAACCCTGAAGCTCCTCAGACTAGTTGAACACCGCCTGCACAGCGTGAAGCAGACCATGGATATGCTCCAACAGATTGTGCAGGTGGGGACGAACTGTTCGGTCGGACTTCTAGTTCCCAGAGTCAGTCAAAGGCTGTTTTCACGTGCCGCAGGAACATCTCAAGGGGTCCTGCCAAAACCACACTCCTTCGGTGCTGTGGCCTGAAGGCTCATCACTGTTCGGGAAGACGCGAGGACACTCCTCGGTGATATTCGCAGAACATTCAGCATGGGTTTTGGGTAGACTCTTTGAGTAGGTTTCAAGCTTGCTGCTTCTAGCTGCTGCCCCGCTTCAAAGGCTGCTGCGTTTCTTAGGATGGCCTTAGGCGGTTAAGCCCCACAGCACCTAAGGTCACCCAAAAAGCGTACATGCAAGAGCGCTACTCAATGGCCTGGAGGCCCTAGGTCTTCTCCTGGAAATGAAGGTGATCCCGCTGAGCTTGGGCCCTCTTGGGGAGGGGGAAATGTAAGAACCGAACCCTGAGGTAACCAAGAATTGATTCGGACGCCATTTTAGATGGTGCTTGAAGGCAAGGAAACCCCGAAACACCCAGTTCAAGCTGAAGCCGAAGCAAACTTGCTGGCACCAGAGGGTTTTCTTGATGTGGCTTCTTTAGCCTGCTTTCTCCTTGGCTGTTGCCAAAACTTCTGTCCTGAAGGGCATTTTGGCTGTGAGCTGAGCAGCAACTGTTGATCCCGTTAAAGATGCGGCCGACCCTTATGGGGCCGAGACTTGGCCAAAATGGGAGAAGTGACCCTGGGGGCTTGGGTTAGCATGAGAAAAGGACACAGGGGCCTGGAGTTTTGGGATCGTGCTGGATTCGATGGCCAGGAAGCTCAGTCGGCGCAGGCCGGGCACGGGAAGAAACCGCTTGCTTCGAAGCAGAAAGCCTCGAAAGGGGGCCATTTCTCCGCGCATGAGGATGCCTTGCGCAAAGGGACAGCCATTTTTTGTCCGGAGGCTGTGAGTTCGGGTGTTGGGGGACTGGCTGAATGTCCCACAAAAGCCAGGTCCATTAAGGGAGCCATTAGCTTATTTCGACAACGCTTGGGATCATGCAGGTTGTGCACCAGTGGGAAGGGCATATTTCGACAAGGACTCACAAGGGCTCAGAAGTTCAGCCGAGTGGGAGTCATGCTTGATAGACCGAGGTTTCTCACAGAGACACCCCCCTCTTTGGGAAACCCTTCCACGTTTTCGTTTATTCCCATTTGCCCAAAGAAGGGGGGATGTCTTGGAAACGAGCTTTGTAGAGACCCTTGCACCCCATGTGGATTTGTTTTACTTTTAGGGGACCCCAAGATGGTGGTTTTCCTTTTGGTTTCCTTTGAAGCCACCTCAACAAACGGACACCCCCACATGTACGTTCCATCAAAGTGAGGTGCCGCTCGGCCCGGAGCACTCCAAGCACTCGGAGAGCTTTAGAAAGTTGCTTGCTTGACCAGAGCCTCGGCCTTTCTGGGGGGGAGGGGAGGGGCAAGAGCCACGCCTCTTCTTTCGGGCTTTATTTTTATGTTATGTTTTTTTTTGTGGGGGAGGGGAGGGGCAGGGCCACGCCTCGTTTTTCGTCACGATGTGTACTAGTGTGTAATTTCGACATCGACATGGTCCGTCCAAAAAGCAAGCCATTTGCCATGTACTGGCAACGTGATTTGTGCATGCTTTGGGTTCGATTAAAGAGGATCATTTGCGTTTTTGTTCAAAACCTCAAATGTTTTGGAACGTTAATCAAAAACATGGAGGGCTTTTGAACTACCAAGTAGTTGCTAGCATCGCCTTGTGACGGTTCTTTTTCGCTGGACGGGCGTGTCTTGAAGTAGGGAAAACCTCTTGACAGTCAAACTGTACCTTGCAGAGGCCATCTTCCATCATGTTTGCCTCAAATATACATCCCATGGGTCCAGTCATGTGACACACACACATTTCAATCATATGCAAGCACAGATCCCCAGGACTTTTGGACTGCCTTGGATGCGGAACAGGGGCGTTTTGATGCGAGCACCAGACAATATCCAACTGGTGTCCTTCTGTTCAAGGCGCAGCCCCATCTGCATTTCTCCATGGCCCTTGAAGGCAACTTCAAAGCGTACCTTTTCATTCCACTGACATGGAATGCCTGTTTGCGGTAGACCATTTTGCTCCCTTTGGGAGCAAAACGGTAGGTTCCATGTAAGCGAGGACGGCCTAAACTTCCAGCGAGGCGAGAGGTGCATTGCAGCCGCAGGTGTGCGCCGGCTTGCGGCTGTGTGCGGTCGTGGTCGGCGATGTTTCACCACGGTTCCGGGAGAGTCGGGTCTCAGGCGACTCATTCACATCTCATTTCCACGGTGTTCCATCTCATTTCCACGGTGTCATATATTCGTTCTTTGATTCAAGAAACTTCAATGGACTTCATCCAAGACTCAAAGTGTCTACTCGGACCCGTCTTGGTTCCGAGTGCTCTTTGGTTTCCCAGTTGGGTGTAGCAAAGAAAGCAAACAACAGCTGGGGGTAGCAATAAAAGCAAACAACTGTGACATCAAGGTGACAAAGCCGCAAAGTGACAAGGCGGCAACGTGACAACAAAGCGGGAAGCTTGTTGTTGCGGTCATAGCACCTCATGAGAGGGGACCGTTTTCAGAGCTCCTTAGTCTGTCCACAGGGACTGGCAGGAATGCAGTTTCGTTGTCCTAAGGACAACGAACTGCGAGGAATTGAGCTAGCTCCGTCGCATAAGGTCGCAGAAGAAAATTGCCTCCGCTCCGACCTTTGGGTCCAGGCTCCTCTCTTCCGCTGTCAGAAAGAGCGTTGGGCCCCACGTGCCGTTTGTGCATGATCTGGAGGTGGCTCAAACACCATCATACACCTCACTTGACAAATTGGCCGCTGAAGGCTGATGCACATCTCTGTTGCTTCTCTCTCACACGCGGGCGAGCGATGTGCGCCATGGCTGCGATTGCCCCGGTGTCATCCCCTTTGCTGCGCGAGCAATCTGGGCGACTCACTAGGCAGGATGAGCATTGAACCCTTTTGGTCCTTTGAACCCGTTCTTTTGGTCCTTTGGACCCATTTTTTTTGATGCTCATAGCTGATTTGGGGGCGGTTTTGTTTCCCTGTCAAGTGTCCACGCCTGAAACAGGACGCCAGGCTCAGGGCGAGCCACAGGGTCTGCTTTTTGCCCGCTGCGAGTGGCGGCCGCTTTCTGCGGGTTGCCCCTGGCCCGTGGCTGGAGGGTGAAGGGTCGGACCCGGACCCGTGTGACCCGTGCGGCCGAAGGCGCAGGTTGCAAAAGGGGCCCAGAATAGGGTCTCCAAAGGAGCTTCGTCCAAGTATCCTGTTTGGTCTGTGTTGTGCCAATATGAGTTTGTCTCCAAACAAGAGGCTCCCACAATGGGCTTTTGTTTCCTTCCGATTGCCCTCAAAACAACCCCCAAAGGGTACCCTGAGAAGAAGACCCCCTCACACCCTGTTTTGTCTATGGTCAGTTTGGGAAGGCTCGGGACATGGGCAACGATCCACCAAAAAATAGCTGCAAAGCAGGGGGAGCGGAGTGCCTATTGGGGGAACCAAGCCGTTCAAGCAACGGCTTCCATTTCGGCGTGGCTGATTTGTTACCCTGCTGGTCGCCAAAGGAGCTTCAGGAAGCCAACATATTCATAGGCAGCGCCCTTTCGCTTTGCCTAGGCGAAATGCCAAGGATCCGGGTCCTTCAACGGAGCCATTTTGTGGGTTGCTCGGAAAAACTTTCCCTGGTGTCCATAGGTACATGATGGCCACGTTGATGATCACAGTTGCCAGCTTTTGTGGATGGTACATCAGGTGAATTTTTGGATTTGTTTGTTGGAACTTCCAAAAGATCAAAAGGTCTAAAACGGGGTCCCCAGAGAAGGTTTGCAAATATATATCCAAGAACCATCCAAGCAAGGGGTCTCCTAAAACCCGAAAGTGGTTTCACATTGTTCGTTCGGGGGTGGTTTGGGGGTCTTGGAAATCATTTTAGATCAACGATCCATGACGGGGGGGGCAGTAACCATCTAAGCCATCTAGAAAAACAGTGTAACCCCGAGACTCCTCTGAAAGTTACAGATTTCCCGGTTCCACGTTAGTCCGCAGGGGAGTAGAAGATTTGGGTGCGTGCTTTTGAGGGTAACCTGTTTGGGGAATGAAAGGGACACACGAAAAGGACACCTACCATTTTGGGGGGGTCCCGCCCCATTTTGACACAAACCAACCCTCACCGCTCCCTGAACCCACCTTACACCACTCTAAACTTTAGAACCCACAAACCACAAACGTCGGAAAAAAGCAAACCAAGAAAAAGGTGGGCAAACACCAACAACACAACAAATGCAACCAACACAACCAACACAACCAACACAAACACTGCAAACAACGCGCAAGACAAAAACAAATAGCCGACCACCACCAATCTATTTGTAGAATTCCAGCTCAGTTTTTCGGGGGCGAAACACACACCGGCGCGCGGGAAAGCGAGGCGCCCGTGTGGCGGTGGTGGGCGCCGGGCCGGCGGGCTTGGCGGCGGCGCTGGCTTTGCGCAAGGAAGGCCTGGAGGACGTGACGGTCTTCGAGCGCGCGCCGAAGCTGAGGCGGGACGGCTCTGACTAGGGGGGGAGTACCTCCAGGTGATTCTGGCGGCTTTGGTCGTTTTTTTTTCTTTTTTTTTTTTTCTCCGGGTGGGTGTTTTTTTCTTTTTGGGGGGGGCTTTGGGGGTTGGTGGTTTCTTGGCGGTTTTGGTTGGGTTTCGGCTTTGGTTGTTTCTTGGTGGGTTGATTCCTTTTCCATCCCCATCGAAAAGCCGTATCCCGGAATTTGTTGGAATGCACTAGTACTTCGTAAAAGCTGCTCCTACTCCCTAAAAACACCGACCCCGGTTTTTTGAACGATTTGGAGAAGATGGTGTGCTTTAGTTACTTTAGTCATTCTAAACTTCCTTTGATTACCCTACCACCAATTAAGATGGAGCCTGATTCGGGGTCCTGGAAGATGATTGTCCTCAAAGGTCCTCCAGTGGGTTCCATGTTGGGTGAAAGAATACAGTTAAGGGCCCAAAATTTGGGGTACACCTAGTCGGTGCTACATGTTGGGTGCCAGTTGTGCAGCGGTAAATTCATTTCTGTTTGGAGGGTTCCCCACTAGAAAAATGGGGTCAACCCCACAAAGGACCAGGGTCACTAGGCAAGTAGGGGTAAAGTAGATGGCACGATTTCTCCCCGTGTTTCTTTGTTTATCCGTAAAAAGTGGATGGTGGTATGTACTCTCACCTCGTTGTATAAGGGCCTCTTGGCGGATTCGTCCACAAACAATGGGGTTCAGAGTGGCTCAGACGTGGCTTTGATCATTCAGCTGCTGAATTGCAGGCTGGACTGCAGGGACCTACAGGTGTCCTTTTGGGGAAAAAGGCTGGTTACGACATATCACTCTCGCACCAGTGGGATCTATTCATTTTCCAATGAGCTGGATCCAGAAAGGATACTGTGAGGGCCCGGAAAATCAGAATATGGATACGGGGGTACTTTAAAAACAGCACACGGCAATGGAGAGTAAGAGGGTTCTCCGGGGATCATGACTCGAAGTGGTTTCGCCAACTCCGAAGGAGGCTGTTTCACCACTTCCTTTCTGTGTTGAACAACCCAACAACGACTACAGGTCATTTGAGAATGTCTCAACATGGGGACCCAGTTTTTGGATGGTTTGAGAGGGACACCCCAAAGAAACCGAGGGTTGCAACCATTTGGCGGCAACCAACCAACCTACCACCTAGCCAACCACCTAGCCTAACCAAACAACCAGCCAGCCAGGCAGTTGAGCAACCAACGAGCCGGGTCCAACTCACTTGGCTGTGGGTCAAAAGCAATGGTACCATGTTGGGGTAGGTGAATTCACCACCCATTTTGGAACCTATTTTAGTGGTGGGATTGGTTGATGTTCACTGGAGGTGCGATTTGGGGTTTTGGGCCACAGCCACTTTGAGACCCACCGGTCACCAACTGCGGCGCCGCTCGAGGCCCGGGGTGGGCGGGGGCGTCCAGCTGCACGCGGGCGCGGCGCTGCTGGCGGAGCTGGGGGTAAACCTCGGCTTCGCGCAGCCCCTGCGCCGCATCAGGCGAGAAGGGGACACCACGAAGTGAAGCCCCGAAGCCCCGAAGCGGCGGGGTGGGTTAAAGTGAGAAGCCGAAATGGCTGGTTTCCCTTGAACCCACTTGGTTTCCCTTCGAATGGTACGGGTTAATACCTATGGTCAATTCTGGTCTATCCAACATTGGTATTAACCCACCGAACGGGGGCGACTTTGAGAATGGTAGAATCATGAGGCCAGAGATGGGGTCGGGCGCTGTGGCCAGGAGCCGCGGGGTGGACGGCTCCGAACTGCTGCGCCTCGACCTGCCACAGCTGGTGGCGCCCTGGTACCGAACTTCGGGTTCAGGGCGAGGGCTGGGGGAATCCTCCGTTTTGGATGCCTGGAAACTGCGGCGCTTGGCCCGAAGTGTATTCCATAGGCTGCATTCGCCCACAAAACGGGGAACCCAGCTCAAAGCACACCGGCGATTCCCTGCAGATCCTGGGTGGAACCAAGCAGTGCAGATCCTGCGGGCTTGGAGTCAGCGAATTCTTCGGGTGGATTCGGATCTGCTTTGGAAGGTACCCTTCGGGGAGCGGATGGGATTCGCCAACACCCTTGGCAAACAGCAAAGGGATATAGACAAGACAAACCAGGTGCCTGGCAACATTTTGTTTGGGCTCTTGAACAGAACTTTTGGGCAAGTTGGAATCGAGCAGACAGGGATTGCCAGTGGGATAGCTTCTTACTTCGTGGGTGGCTCCCCATTAATTCACCCCTCCCTTCCCTGGTCCGCAAAAAGTTAAGGCCAGTGATGTTCACCCCGATTATTCTTGAGTTTTGGAGCAGGGCTTCTGGTGTATTCCTGGCTTGCTGGTTCGGGCAACTTGAGTCGGGCTGCTTGGGCTGACGCCTCGACGCGGATGCCGAGCTGCACCAAGGACCGCTTCGCGCCGCTGACGGGCTCCATCCGGCGCCCGGACGGCGACCTGGCGAGTTGCACGGCGGCTCGGACGTCAGTGAAGGGCCAAGGGCTAAGCGTCACGATGGACCCCTCCGAATTGGTGTCGTTTTTCCTGGCAACCGAAGATGAAGGTTGGGGGACAGCCCCAGCCATAAATTCCCTGGCAACTTTGCTCCTTCACGCCGAGATTCGGGTAGACCTGGCTCGTGAAAACGTGCGCGGGGTTTGCGCGGCTTCGGTCCCGCTGGGCCTTCGGAGAGGTGATGCGCGACGCGCTGCTGGCGGCGCTGGCGGCGCAGCTGCCGCCGGGCTCCGTGAAGTTTGGCAAAGAGCTGCAGGGCTTGGAGCTGAAGAGTGGCTCCGTGCGCCCTGGAGCGAAGGGAAGCAGTGGAAGGGAGGGGTGGTTTCTCAAGCCCTTTGGTTGCGTTTGGGGACGAAAGGACCATCCACATACGGCATGTGGTCCTTTTGGGATTTTGCTCAATAGTAAGCCCAGAAAGGAGACCGATCCTTCAAAAGGGAGCTTTTGATATGGCTTAGACTGCCATGAAAATGAATCGAGGCTTCCTTCACCGGACTGGCCAGTTTCTCTGTTGGCTGGGCAGGTGGCTGGAAAGGCGGGGTTTTCGGGCGGTGGCGGGGTGATGGGGCGATGGAAGGGAAGGGTGGGTTGGTGGGCCACAAGACCCAAACCAACCAGATATGAATCCAATGGGTCAGTTGGGGTTATACCGTTGCTTGCTTCAGTTTCTCACATCCTTTGATTTGGTTTGCTTAAATTTCTAGCCTCCAACCAGTATGTGTGGTTTATCTCTTGGTTTCCATGCAAAACAATCCTAATATGCCCACCTTCGACAAAGAAACATACCAATTTTGAAGCCGCTGGCAAGGCATGTTTGCACTGGGGCTGTGTTCTAAGCACGGCCCTTTGCCTTGCCTCATCGAGCTTCAGTGGTTGCAAACATGAGCATTTGCACAGAAACTGCTTTGGCCGGTTTTTCCGTTCTTTGGTGCAGTGTTGGTTTCCAGGGGCTGCAGAGAACCAAGTGCCTTCCTTGCATGCGAGGGGTTGAGAAACCGCGGCCTCATTGTTGAACAAGAGCGAACCCAACCGCATTTTGATTGACCAGACATATCTTTCTGAATCGAAAGTTCTTGCCTGAGGACGGCCAACTTCTCCGGCGAATCTGAGGACACCATGGGCTTGGACAAATCTTGGGTGCTCCGGGCAAGCTGTCTCTGCCATGTCTAAATGTGAAATTGAGACCTGGCAAGACTTCACACATTCATATACACACACACAAGATGCACAGTTCCAGACATCCGCATTTCACTTCGCGCGCATGTGCCAGTATATTGTGTCATTTGAGGTGTCAAACATCTAGCAGTGTATGGTCTATTTGAGAGGGACATGGGGGACTCACCAAATTTGCAACAAAGCCAGCAACTCACTACTTTCTCATGTGGGTATGGGTCAAAATTAAACCATCAGGGGACCGCAGGTTGTAGTCTTTGTTTCCATTTACCAGGATTCCATTTTGGGCACCCACACCCATGTCCTTTCCCCTAATTGCACATTTGGACTGGCTTGCGTGGCTTCAGCCGGCCTTGGTCATGAACCTCCCATGAATACTTGGGTGTGTCCTTTTGTTCGGGGACCCTTTTGGGGTTGGTTTGGGAGGTAACCCAAACAGAAAACCTGGCCCCTTGCGGGTATTCCCCCCGTCTTGAGACAAACCTATGTCGGCATGTTTGTCTTTGAACGGGATACCAAAAGGAAATCCACCATCTCGGGGGATTCCCCTATTTGAGACACACCCATGTGGGTGTGTCTTATTTTAGATCCACGACGTAAAATGGTGGATCTCCTTTTGGGCTTCCCTTGAAGACCGCAAGTAAAACAGGCTGCCCTCAATTGGAGACAGACACCATGTTCTTTCCAGGGATCCTTCTTTTCAGAAAACCACCCAAAACCCAGGGAAACAGCGATCGGTTTTTGAAAAGAACGATGGTTGAAAAGAATGGAAGAGGAATCAACCCCTAGAGGTGTCTGTCTGCAAAGGCACCCACCAACCGCCCCCCCAAAAACCAGCTGTTTCCTAGAATAATGGAAACCCCTAGACTGTAGATTCATGGATATTGCAACCTTTATGAGCTCACTATGGTGTCAAGTGGAAACCAGCCCTTTGCTCCTGCGGCTCTGAATCAACCCCTAGGACTTTGACTTGGTGATCGCGGCCGACGGCATCGGCAGCCTGGCCCGATCGGTGGTGACGGAGACCGTGGAGAAGCCGCGATACACAGGCGCGCGTCAACGAGCTCACGGAGCTCGGGGCAAACCAAGCTCACGTGAGCCATGTGCTCAAAACCGGGGGTAGGTCAAGGTTTGCAGATGCTCCCAACCGTATTCTGGTTCGTGCTAGACCTTTTTAATGCCGGGTTTTGATGACTCACGTGATGAATGTAGAACTGGGGTTTTGGTTTGGGGAACTATAGCAATTAGGCCAGATGGCTGCTTTTTTGGAGAGCACCGTTTTCGGGGTTGTTTGATAGAAAGGCCAACGCGAGTTTGCCTTTTGCCCTCCTAGGGAAAATAAAGGGTCCGCCTAGTTTGACGCCTTATCGGATTCGGTAAATTCCTCTGCAACCCTCACAAGTGTTTTCTTTCCCTTTGGTTTTCCTTTAACCCCAACCAAAAGGGTCCTTCAAACACACAGTATGTACATGCACACGACTTCCTCTTGACAACTTTTGTTTGATGTCAGCCGTGAGAGTTGAATGCCCCTGAATGCACAAGTGGGCTAACTTTCGTTTCGTTTTCTCGGACATCTTCTCTCAGGAAGGCTTCACTTTGTCCCAAGGCCCCCCTTTCCGGGCTGGTGAATCTGTGTGGTTTCTGTGTTCCTGGTTTCCATGTGCCCAGAAGCTGGGAGAGAAAGGGCGGGGGGCCATGGCCTGCTCCGCGCCGCGTTCTTCGGCGTGGCGCGGCGTCAGGTCTGCGGATTCAGTACGGCGTGCGGGAGGCCGGCGGTCGACCTGCCGGATGCGAGGAGGAGGCCCATCAGTGGTTCGGCGAAGGCGGGCACCTGACAACTCTGGGAAAGTGAATACAAGGCGCCCCCCAAATTGGGAGTTCTGTCTTTGGTTCCCCTTCCAAGCATGCCAAACAAGATATGAGGGTACTGAGAGCTAAAACAACACAGCACTTTTCCGGTTTTGTGTAGGCCCAACCAGGTTCAGCCAGGTTCAGCCAACGAGGTTCAGCCAGTGCCATGCTTCCAAGTTCCAAGGCGTCTACGCCCTCACGGCCACCTACGGGGGGCTGGGCTCCAAGCGCTACGAAATGCTCGCCGCAGTCTTCCGGGAGGACGCCCCGGCCGCGGAGAATGCGGACTGGGAGCCTGTGCAGGTGCAGGCGCGGAATAGAACCATCGATGAAGCATCACGGCCGTTGAGATCTTCTTGGGCACAAGGCGTCCGCCCGAAAACGTTTTTGGGTTCTTTGGTTGAGGAACACGCGCCTGGAAAGATATTTCTCGCCAACGTGCGAGGAAATGGCATCTGCCAGGGTTTAGAATTGATTGCATTCACAGAGCCAGGCGTTAAATTTGGGGTGTTGGGACGCAATTTAGCAACACTTATGCAGCATCGCGTTTTGAATTAGACGTTTTATGTGGGTCCAGCAAGCCATCCACTTTGGACAGCCGACCAGCGTCGGCAAAGGGAATGAGTGAATGTGTGAGTGCAAGCTGGGCTCGAGATTCAGCTGGGAAGGCGATCCAGACGATCAGCTGCTCTTACCCAATGTTCTCAGGGCTTCTTATCCAGTGTGTGCACCCACCGTTCCTGGCAAATACCCGCCAACCTCCCTTGCCTATTTTAGCCAAATCTCTCAAAAGAAGGCGCCCTGAACAAATTAATTGGGGGGGGGGGAGAACGGTTGGAAGGAGAGGCCGTGCCTCCAGACAGCTTGCCACATCTTGAGTCAGCAAACAGTCTGCATTCGTACCTACACCAGAGTGTTTCCCGAAGTCGGGGGATACCTTTAAAACAATGGTCGGTTTTCCTTTTGCTTCCTTGAAGAACCAAAAGGGGCTCTTCCCACAATGTGGACACTCCTTCGGTGGGTTTGCCCTTGATTCCCTTCAAACAGCCATCCAGGTTGTCTCGGAACGGACACTTTTGGACCTATGGAAATTGCTCTACGGCCCCACAGAGCCCAGAGCTGATCCCATGTGAATCTCTGGACAAAGTCCATCCCCACTTTACTTCGCCAAACGGCTTGGTGGACCATGCCCATTCAAATTAAGCCCAGGAAAATGACCTCAAAACCATCCCCAACCACACCATCTACCCCTGCGATCCGCTTCAACGGCCTTCGAACCTCCACCACTCCCCCCCCAGCCAAAAAACGCCATCCGCCCGTATGGCCAGCGGAGCGAGCCCTCATTTTTTCCAAAGCTTCAAGGGGCCAGGAGAGCTGCCTGCGGCGCCTGCGCGCGTCGGGCCACGTGCCGGAGGTGCTGGACATGGCCTCCGGCTGCAGCCGCTTCTTCGAGCTGGGCGTCTGTGAGAGGCGGCGACGTGGGCGGCGGGCGTGGTCGGCGGGATGCGGAGAGAAAACCCCTGGGGTCTGGTTCTCAAAATTTGTCACGATCGGAGGGGGTTATTCTCCGCAGGTTTTGGGCAAGCCGTGTTTTTCCACTTACCGATCGGGCAAGCTGGTTTGGGGAATTCCGGTTTTTTGAGCCACAGCCACCTGCGAACTTAGCAGTAGCGCCTTGGAAGATGAATCAGGCTGTGCTTAAACAGGAAGCGTAGGAAAAGATCAATGTTCGCAATTGCAGAACCCACAGGCTGTGCTTGAGGAACCATAGGACACCCCGCATTTTGGCTTCCAGCTTTTTTTCGTCCCAGCTAGCTGAAAAGAGCGACCAGCCAGGTAACTTTTTGTTTGCTCTTTGGGGACCAGGGAATGGTCTTGAATTTGAAAGACGGAGTTGGATGTCTCTTAAAATACGGGGACCTCGGCAAGTCGTTATTTCGTTTGTGGTTTACTTTTAGACATCATCTAGCTGGGGGCCAATCTTGAGACACAGTCCATTTGTGGCCAATCGGAGTGAACTGGTAAGGCTCAGCAGGTTTTTGCATGTTTTGTTCCACGCTTGAAGCCCATTTGGGTGTTTTCACCGCTACCCAGGCAGCCAGTCCAGATACTTGAGTTAGAGGTTCCTGTGGTTTTTTGGATTCCGCTTGACAGCCACACATTTTGGTGTCTGGTACCGTTTTGGGGGTGGTACCGTTTTGGGGGTGGCAAAAGGGGAAGCCAACGGGGTAGCCGCCAGTTTCGAAGTTTCCTGATTTCTAGACAGCCACACAGGCTTCTATTTCGGCAAGTTACAACGAGCTCACCCCACGAAGGTCCCTTGCTTTTCCCCAATTCCGGCTTAAAAGCGACTTGCCGAACGGGCTGCTGGGAGGCCCATCGGATTCAACCGCTGGCATCGGGGGCGCCTGGTCCTCATCGGGGACTCCGCGCACGCGATGCCGCCCTTCCTGGGGCAGGGCGCGAATCAGGCGATCCAGGACGCTGTGTGCCTGGCCCGCCCTCTCGGCTGAAAGACATGGACCCGCCATGGACCCGCCCATTGTGCAAACAACAGCGGAGCAGTGTTGGGGTATCCCCGGAAGACAGCCCTTGTATCAGGTTAGTTTCCCGCTGGGTTCGTGCTGGGTAACATCTTGCCCTCTAAAGTGATGATGACTGGAAACAAATCCTAAGCGGGTTGAACACGCCGAGGATCCAGAATGCCGGATCAGGATGTGTGAGTGCTCACATGCAAACATGCTTTGAGCTTTTGCACTGAGGATGGGAGACACAAACCGGTATGAGCACTTCACCCTTGCCCAAAAAGCTTAAGCCGCAGAGGGGCATTGTGAGGCACAAACATAGCCAAAAAAAGCGCATCTAAGAAGCAGACTTGGCTTGAGAGAAAAAGTGACGAATACAGATGTGTCAAACATTGTGGGACCCTTGGTGCCTTTTCGGTTTTCATTTGGTGTCGTTTAAAGCAAACCGATCCACACGGGCTCAGTCCCAAACGAAGGTTTCTGACATATGGGCCAGAACCAGATGCGCTGCTTTCCTTCCACCAGTCGTCAGGTATGCTCCGATCCACGAAAGGAGATTCCTAATTTGGACAACTTCCCCTCAATCTGGGGTGTCAGCGTTCCTCCCCTGCAGAAATCAGGATCCGCACTAAACAGCGACTTCTTAGCAAATCGCAAAAGACTCCATTAAATCCAGGGTCAGCAGTTTTCCTTCCGACTCCATTCTGATGACTGCCCTTTCAAGGGGTGTATAGTCTGAAAGCAAAGAATAGGAACAGAGCAGGTGGAGGAATCAGCCCCGATTCATCCTTCAGTATCTGCATTTGGTTCAACAGCAAATATTGTTTGTGAAGGTTCGCCAGGTCGCAAAGTCGTGAGCCGCAATCTTGACTGTGAGGCTTTGTTTTGGGTTGCATTTTCCTTAGGGCAGCTTTTTTTTCCCTAGGTCTGGTTCCCTGGCTGGCTGGCTGGTTGGTTGGCTGGTGGGTTGGCTGGTTGGCTCTTGGCCTCTGAGGCCGACTGGCCGGCGCTGGCCTGAAGTCGCCGGAGGCGCTGGAGGAGGCGCTAAACAGCTTCACCGCCGCGCGGCTGCCGCCCGTGGCCGGGGGCCCAGTGGGCGGCTTCCGGCCAGCTCCGAGGTCAGAGTCGTGGCAAGCTTCGCGGGTCACTCGGTTTTCGAGTCCGAGCGAGGCTTTCCGGGCATCCAGCGGATCTTTCCCTCGCCAAAAAGAAAAGAAGAAGCCGCTTTTTCCGGAGCTAAATCGGTAGCTATGGCCGTCCCTGTACATGGCTCTGAAGGAGGCTTGTCGCGTTGAGGTTGGTGCAGGAAAGAAGAGATTCGTTTTTCCATACACATAAATCTTGATAGATCCTGGGCGCGCAGGTTGCCCTTCAGGGTTGCCTAGGGCCCCGATTTGGACCTACAGGGCTCTAAAAACGGGTGTGGCTGATCAAGCATCCTCCAGCTATACTTAAATGAATCAGCGGTAAGGAGAAAGCTTCTTTGCATGATGGGGTGTGGGCTGAAACAATGATGACTTTAACGCCTCCGGCTCAGACCGCCGATATTACAGGCCTGCTTTCTTATACGTGTCGAGTTTGCCCTTCGGAAGTATCCCCTTGGAAGTATTCCTTTGGAAGTGTCCCATTGGAATTTTGCGTTTGGAATTCCCCCATTGGAAGTTTCCCATTGGACTTTTCTTGGTGGACTTTTCCCTTTGGAAATCCCGCTTTTTCTATTATCTCAGGATGTTTTCCTGTGAAAATTTCCCTTTGTACATTTCCCATTGGAAGTTTGCCTTTGCAAGTTTCCCATTGGAGGTTTTTCTTTGTTTTTTTTCTTCGCCCATTTTCCTTTGCAAATTTCCCTTTGCAATTTCCCATTGAAAGTTTGCCTTTGCAAGTTTCCACTTACATCCTTCCCTGTGTTTTTTTCTTCGCCCATTTTCCTTTGGAATTGTCCCTTTGGCAATGTTGCAAGGCTTGCATTGGAGTTTCTTTTTGGAATTGTCGCTTTGAACATTTTCCCTCTGGAAAGGCTTACGTGCAATATATTTTCTGCATTCTGTCTTCCATTGTGATTGTCTGGTTTTCAGCCATTAATACGTGAATAATTTTAGCCACCAATATGTTAACACGTGAAGGCGCTGAGCTTTAAAGATTTGTAGCCACAACGATTTTTAGATCTTAGGGGAGTACGATTCTAAGCCATTGAGATTCTAGGATTATGTTTGGACTTTAGGCCATGAATATATTTGCACGTAAAGCCACGGATATTTCTAGATTCTACTGCATTAAGATTCTAATGTTTGAAGCCATTAAGATTTGAACATGTTAAGCCATTACTATTTTAAGGTTCTTAAGCCATTCGGATGTTAAGACGTTACAGATGTTTCAGAGTTTAATCCATGTAGATTTTCAGGTTTTCAGCCATTAATCTTTAATATTTCAGCCATTCATATTTTAACACGTTAAGCCACTAAGACTTGACGGTTTTCAGCTATTCCGAGCTTTGGTTTTTTTAGCCAGTAAGATTTTGAGCTGGTAAGATATTAACACGTTAAGCCAGTAAGACTTTCAGATTTCACTCCATTTGGAGTCTAAGGTTTGAAGCCATTAAGAATTGAAGATGTTAGGCCATTAAGATGCTAACACGTTAAGCCACACATATTTTAAGATTGTAAGCCATTTTGGCGTAACACGTTCTTTGTTGATGTTCAGACGATGAACTATTAAAACATGAAGCCACTAAGATGTTCAGTTTTTCAAGCCCTTAAGCTTTTTCAGACTTTAGGCCATAGATATTATCAGTACTAACATCTACACATCATAATGGCTGGACATCTTGGATGCCACAAGACACGAATAGGCCCTTCATTTCACCTCCGTGCTCCTGTTTTTGCAGGATGTCATCCAGACAATGCCAGTGATGCTGGTGTTGCTGCCGATGTTGTGGCCAACACCGTTGGTTGAATGCTTGGGTCCGCTTGACAAGGCAATGGCCCAAAAGTGGTGTGGTCCAGAATGGCTTTGAACAACCAGAATCTATATCAAGCCCATTACAGCATACAAACAAAATAGAACCTCTCTCTCTCTCTCTATATTTATAAACCCATGTTTGAACAATGAATGGTTCCTGTGTTTCCCCTTCAACCGCTATGGCGGCCCTCAGCTGAAGGCCGTGCTGGGCTTGGAGAGCGGCTTCGTGGGCCAAGTAGAGCGGCCCGGCTGAACCTGACATCCAGTCACTGGAGCCTGACCGAGGATTTTTTTCGAGGCTTGCAATAGAAACCACAACAGTCTTGGTTGAACCAAGCAGCCAATGGGATTTTGGCTGCGTTGCAGGCTAGTGTGTTGTTGAACGAAATGGGACACGGGGACAGGCCTGTCAGACCTTTTATCCGCCCAGTTTCGGAATCTTGCGTAGGGTGTTTTGATGCAACCTACCTGCGTCCAACTAGGTTTGAGACTGACAAGCTGACATGATACTTTGACGGAGAGTAATTGGCCGTTTCCGATCGGCCGTTTTGCGCTCCTCTGGGCTGCCAAAATCGTGCTTGCCTAGTGATATCTGACGTGCATTGGTACCATGGGCTATGTATTTGGGGTTCATGAACTCGGGCCTAGGGGCTGACCAAGGCCACCTGCCCTGAGGATCTTTTGGGGAGCCTTGCGGCGTTGTAGCCAACGATCCGTGCGTTGCCAGACGACCAGGTCTTTGCCCCCCCCCCCCCAGCCTGCCTTTGACCTTGGTGAAAGGCAAACCCAACGTCGGTCGACACGTTTTGAACCACGGCGGTTTCGGCCGGTGCTGCGCAATGCGCTTGCGCCGCGGCATTGAGGACGTTGCCGGGCGCCGTGGGCTCCTTGGTGCGGGACAACTTCTTCCGAGTCATGGGCGGAAGTGGCATGGCAGGCCCACGCCTGAGGAGTACTGGGGAAATCCAGAGGGGGTGTGTTGGCCTGTGAAGGGTCTTAACTGCGACGCCGCATGCGAATTTACTGGGGGCCCAAAAGGCCTCGGCACAAGATATGGTGGGTCTGAGCGTCCAGATGCTTGGAAACTGCATTTGTCCCGGCAGTCCCACAAGCGATCGCTCCGCCTTTTCCAAATCCCTCTTACCCCTACTTCAACTTCCTTTTGCCAGTCCTCCCATCCAGCCAGGCCTGGTTTTCCTCAACGGCGCCGTGGCGCGTGTGTGATCCGAAAGGCGGAGCGAGGGCTGGTCATTCAGCAAGTCGGGCAGGGGAAGGCCGACAGAGGCTTCAGTTGAGGCCGGTTTCGGTGAGCTACAACACCTCAAGAGAGCTATCCCTTCCTCTCATGGAAGCTGAGGCTAGGTGCGTAGACTATTTTCCTTTCACAGGGACCTTCTGTCAGCTTGTGGGAGACAGGTTAGGGCTGATGATGCCCGCTGAAATTAAGTGGAGTCAGAGTTGATTGCTGTTTCCTTTCAAATCAAGTGGATGAGCCATGTGGCTGCAAGCAGGGTTGTGGTGTGTTCTTTTTTCGAGGGTACCATTTTAAGTTTGTTGAAAGTAAATCATGACTTTTTGTGTCGTACTTTTTGCGACAAAGATGATTTAAGTGCTTATGAAAGGCCCACATGGGGCATACGCTCGAGTAGTGCTAATCAATGTTTGTACACGGCCCAAACCTCCATGTTATACATGTGATGAAAGCAAGCAACTGTTTTCGGGAGTTGGGGACACCCTTTGGCATGCTTGATGTGTGTATGGAGGAACCCTCAGGGAGCGATGACCATAGCCTGCCAGCAGAGTTTCAGCATGGCTGGAAATCATGCTCAGAGCTTTTCCCAGGAGTAATTGCCCAATGTTTGCACGCATACATACTTACATACATTACATTACATTACATTACATTACATTACACTACACTACACTACATGACATGACATTACATTACATTACATTACATTACACTACACTACACTACACTACACTACACTACACTACACTACACTACACTACACTACACTACACTACACTACACTACATTACATTACATTACATTACATTACATTACATTACATTACATTACATTACATTACATTACACTACACTACACTACACTACACTACACTACACACACACACACGCACACACACAAATACATACGCACGTACCTATGTACGTACATAGGAACGTACGTACATACGTACAGACGTACAGACGTACATACACGTACATACACGTACATACGTACCTACGTACATACGTACATACGTACATACGTACATACGTACATACGTACATACGTGCATACGTACATACGTACATACGTACATACATACATACATACATACATACATACATGCATACATACATACATACATACATACATACATACATACATACATACATACATACATACATACATACATACATACATACATACATACATACATACATACATACATACATACATACACAACCATATATACACGTACATATTTACACAGAGATATATACATACACATGTATACATATATACATATATCATATATACACATATACATTTATGCATACATGCATAATTTCGCTCAGGGTTCCCCCCCATGAGCTACCTCTGTTGCAGTGCCTAAATGCATACGAAGCAGTATTTTTCAATTTTTCGTTTTTTTTCTTTCCGTATTTTTTTCGTCATAAGAACGATGTTTCAAGCACAACGGGTTTTCGCGGATATGGCAATTGTCTGTTAATTGTATGAAACAACCACACGGTTTTTGGCAAAATATGCAGTTTAGGTGGAGACGATGAAGCACAAAAGCGAAACCATATCATCCGTAAGGCAAAAACACAAAAAAAGCAAAGCTCTGAGGAAAAGTGTTTGTTTTCCCATCGCATTTTGTTGGTTAGTTGGAGCAACACTTTTCCTGCAGCATCGAGCTCACACATGTCTCTCTTTATCCATTCTCATCGGTGGCACTTTGTGCCCTGGATCGTTTTGAGCTCGCTCCCACGTCTTGGCCCCTTCTTACCTCACTCCCATGTCGCGATCACGTGACGAAATGGCTGACTTCTTCGTGGGGGCGTTGCAGCCCCGCGGCGGCGGCGCTCAAGTCGCTCAGACTCCAGGGCTCCCTTGCGCCGACGTGGCTCAGAGCAGGCTGAAATGACTGGCGGGCTTGGGCGTGAGGCCGCCCCCACGAACGCGCGGCTGCACCTGATGCTCACGGACCAGTCTTTCCTGGTGACGCCACTCTCGTCCGGCGCGTCTCCTCACGCTTGATTGGCAAGCACACAGGCAGCATTTTGCCGCCTTGCAGGTGGCGTCTTCCCAGCACAACGACTTGGCCACGGAGCAGATGCGCGTGAACGCCCAGCTCGCTTCAGCCCTGGATTGTCTGGCGCAGGGCAACCGTGCAGCAAAACATCCTTTCTTTCGAGATCACGAGTCGGAAGACATTGCCTCAGCTTTGGGAAAGGCTTCCATTCCTTCCTTCCAAAATGATTGGTTCCCATCCAACCACCTGTTGGCGAAGTTACAGAAGGTGCTGAGCAAAGCCCGCGAGTCCCGCAAAAATCAGGACCATCCTTTCATTGCGGACACATCCTTGGAACCTTGGGTGCCCATGTGGGTCGGGCACGGTGAGTCGCCATCTGCGCGAGAAGCGCTAGTCAAACAGCGGCGTAAGACTGAGAACCTCGGCGCGCAAGTTCTTGAGCCTTGTCGCCAGTTTCTGGCTGGCCAGTTCCCCGATGTGTTTGCCCACCTCTTGATGCTCATCCGGATGAGCGCTGAACATGGCCTGTCATACGCCCTTCATTATGAGACAAAATCGCACTATGGGCTCCAGTCGCTCACGCACAGCTCAAAGAAGTTCAACTTTTCGGACTTGCTTCATCAGCCCCTTTGGCGGCTTACTCACAAGCTGGACATCAAGCACTACCGCTCCAAGGGTCGCAAACATGATGACTTCACCATGCTGGCTGGGGACACGAGAGATGCCAAGCGGCCTCACGTCACCAGCAGTGAGGCGAAGGAGGCCCGGTCGGCGCCCATCTCCGCAGCCAGTTTGCTTTGGCCAGGCCAAGGGCTCACGTGTGCCGACCGGGCAACTTGCAAGTTGCATCACTTGGACACCACCGATCCCGAGCAAGCCAGGCGCCATGCAGCGGCACTCAAGGCCATGCGGCCAAAAAAGACATGCCTCCTGGGCCTCGAGAGGAGGAGGGGCCCAGGGTGAAGTTGGAAAGTCCCACTTCCAGATGTCATGTCAGATGTGGTGTGAGAACTGCACCGTGCACACCAAGCAGTTTGTGCAGACATGCTCGTCTTGAAGGTTCGATGATTTGGTTGTCTTTTACAGCAGCACGCGACATTGGTGGTCGACCAATGAATGGGCAGACAGATCTTTGCTTGCAGATTTCCACACAGGCCTGGCATTCAGATTCTGCACGTGGGATGCCGCGCTAACGGAACAAGTTTTGTTATGGGTTTTTGTTTGTTGTTGTTTGTTTGTGTGTATTCGGGTTTTCCCTCAGTTTTGCGTGGTTTTCTTTTTTCATAACCAACACACACTCGATGGTGTTTTTGTTTTGTCATTGTTTCTTGTTGCTCGAAACCATCGAGTTTTTTATATTCAAAACATGATCAGAGAGAATGAACACAATTAGTATCTAATTGCACTTATTGGAGGCAAACTCAAATTATGATTTTGATGTAAACTGGAACCCAACACTTGGTTCTCAAGTCTTGACTCACGCTGCTATAAGGCTCCTTATAAAGCTCCTTGTAGCGCCCCTTACACACAGATATGCACACCCTCATTTGCTCCTTGCACACCCCATACGCGATAATTAGGTGGGAACCTTGCACATTCTACCACCTTTTAATGGAATTTGTGGTTGGAGCACAAACCTTTCAGGGCGCGCAATCGTTTTCCCTCCAAGCAAGAACTTGGAGAAGCAGCCGGCGTGAGGTGTGTAGGCGCGCCGAGTCGCCCATAGCACGCTTGAGACAGATGACCTTTGTGATGTCTCAGCTTCTCCTCAAGCCTGGCAGCATATCATGTTCGAGAATCATCACCGCTTCATGGGTTCGAATGCACCTTGGTTTGTCACAAAATGGAAGAACACCCAAAATGGCTCATGTCTTTTTGGTTTCCTTTAAAAGCAATCAAACGGGGTTAGCCGAAAAAGGACACAACCACATGAGGAGAACATCCTTTACCAATTTGCTTTCGCATCAGCTTCTGCCATGGCGACGCTGGCTGGCCCTTGGGTACCAGGCAGATTGGTCTGGACGTGTGATACGGGCGGACCAAAGGATTAGCATAGCCTGGCTCGTGGTTGGGGGTTGTCAAACATAGAATCCGTCTCGGAGCTGGTAATGCCTTGTGCCGCCTTTTTCCGGGGATACTGCAAAGGGCCCCTGGTTTTGACAGCCCGCAATTCGAATCCTGACAATCTCTTGGGAACATTGTGGGGCCGTTTTATGTTTCATTTGTTTCATGGTAGATGGATACTGGATAGTACGAGTCACCATTTGACAAAACTGGCCATTTGGGGTGACCGAGTGATCGTCGGTGCAGATCTGTCACTTGAAAGTTTCAGCAAAGGCAGTGCGAGCAGTGCTGCGAGACTGCGGAGTTGCGGCCAACCTAGGATCCGAGGCGGGACAAGAGGCGCTGGGAAAGTAACATGACTCCGGATTAATTGACTGTCTTGAGAGTTCCCCTACTGTGGCTTCAGAGCTGATGACTTAAGACTCATATAGGGGAACCAAGGATTCATACGTTCATATTAGGTGTCTTATTTAAGAGGGGATCCTTCACTTTCACCGGCAGGGTTGGGAGTTGAGCCATATGGATTCAAACTGCTGCCCTGTCCATTTGAGAACTGAGTGATAGAAGTTGTGGAAGCTTAGGTCTGGAGGTTTGCTGTGCACAAGGTTCACTTAACACTAATCCAAGTTGTTGGGCATGTACATCCTCTTCTTGGGGCCATCTGGAGGAAATGATTAGTTGGGCCCTCATCTCAATTGGGACCTATTCTCGACTGGCAGTTGAACTTGGTCACTTCGCTCACCATCCTTCTTCCCTTCAGTTGATTACACGGCAAACATGGATGGGAGAAAGGGAAGGTGAACGAGTCGAGTTGCGTCAAGGGTCTCTCCGTCTCATCACTATGACTCTCTCTTGAAGCTCGCCAATTCCCCAGGAAGGTTGCCCCGAAACGCAACTCGCGAAACAGCAGCTGTATGCTTGTTGCTCGCTCTCAGGTGCGCCCTCGGACATCCGACAGGGTGCCAAGCTCCAGTCTCTGCCAGGCTCGGATGTAGAGAGATGGCACCAGGCCCGTTTCGGGAAAAGCCCGGTGAATTATTTGGGTCTGCAAGAATAGGACGTCCCACGTTGGCCCCCATTCTCCGGGAAACATTGATATGCCGAGGATAGCAGCTACAGTTGCAGTGGAGTCCCTTCATGTTCTGCACAAACTTTGAGCCCTGCTGTGTGTAAGACGAGCTCACCCAAGATGAAGATTCTTCGCTTGCAGATGCCTCCTTTCCATTTTTTTCACTTGAGGTCATTTCCCCAGAATGTTGGAAGTAAGGAGCAAAGGGACCCCTGTCATTCACCCTGGTTTGTGGTTGGTTGACTTGGTCTGGGCTGAATGAGTGCCCTGTAGCAGGTCTGCTCCTGCTGGTGGCTGGAAAGGCGCGGGGGCTTTGTGGGTTTTACATATTTTCGCCTGCAAGGAGGGGTCAAGCCCCTGCGACGAGTTCTTGAGGAGGGAGGCACCCACAAAGGTAGGCGATCCAGCAGACTTCCACCCAGGCGAGAAGGCCAAAATTAGTGATTCCGGCCTGTTCCGTTCTGGACGGCCAGGCCATCACGCGAGGCAGGGAGAAGTTGGGAGCGCCGCGGGTGTGTCTAAGCCTAGCTGTCCTTACTGGTTCTCAATCTGCCGAAACCAGGAGGGCACCCCAAGTCTTGCCGTCCCAACACCAAGCAACTAAGCGCATCCTGCCATGAAGCTGCAAGTCGGCTGTACTCTTTGTGCGTCTAGCGACCCAACAGCCGCCTTCGTCCTCTAATGTCCACGCCAGATCAATGAAACCTTCCCGACTGATCCAGGGTGATTCGCCCCGAAATATTTTAGAGCCCTGGCAAGAAAGCTTTGGTACGCCTGATGAGGCTTTATCAGCTGCCATATGTTGAACCCGCTGCATGCAATAGAGAAGCTGCTTCACCAGCCCTATGAACCAAGACCCTTTTTCGCCAGGCCCCAGGCGGCCAGCGAGATCAGTGCGCTGGGCAGAGGTTGGACAGAGAAGTTGAAGGGGTTTGTAGCCAAACTTGCGATTGGTGCGATAGGTAGGGAATGTGGTTATATGAACCCAGGCTTCGGCCCCTTGATTGAAGGAAACCACCAGTTGGATGTTTTTTTTCAGGGTCATTCCACTTCTTATTCCCTGAGTACCAGCAAGCAGAATAATGTGGGACCAACAACTGAGAGAGGCCCACCGGTCCGAAACTGTGGGAGGCCTTTTTTGGCGAAAGGGGGGGATCCTGCCCGGTCGCCCCGCGTCAGGGCGATGAAAAGGTGAACCCCGGGCTATCGATCATGGAGGCGCGGAGCGGAACTGCCATGGTTGCAACTGCCAGAATCCAAACCGTAAGGGGTAGTGGGGAATGGGGCTATCTGCCGTTTGATTCTTTGCTGGTGGGTCCCTTTTCATGCCAAGGTTTTATTATGACTAGCATGGTCAGGGATGGCAAGTGTTGAGATTTTGGACGAGCAGAAGGGTGCTGAACAGCCATGCACCAAGCTATTTTGACCATGTTGAGCCTTCATGCAGCGATCCTTGTCCCGGCCCTGATGCAGTTTGCCCTTCCACTGCGCGCCGCTGTCTGGGTCAACACACCAGCCCAGCACAATGTATCCAGATGCTCACAGATGCGAAAGCACAACAAACCTGAGGTCTGATGGAAAACCCCGGATGCACAGGCTTACTGTACCACTTCCTTGTTCTCTTTCTTGGCCCCTTCTATGGTAGGGGGATTTTAGCCAACAGTCCTGACATGGGTATTACTGACCCTGTATTTGATACTCATGTGGTTCCTTTCATTGCCAGGGTTGCTTCGACCCCCCAAAACAATGACCAAGCCCTCCGGGGTCGAAATAGGTCGAAAGGGGTGCAACCCCCGCCTTTCCACCCTTCCGCAAATGCCGGATGTCTCAAACAGAGCCGAGAAGCTGCTATGAATGGCATTTAAGAGGTGGATCCATTTTGCCAACCCGAGTCTATCATTGGTTCCTCTTTTCACCCCACAGCCCCTGCATCCATCGCTTGAGCCAGCACGCGAGCACGCCCTCCTTATCACCGGCGCCATGGCTTCCCGCAGCCGGCGAGATCGAGGAGGAAGCCCAGAGCGGCACAGGTGCCACCTCCACGGGGCGGTCCGGGCCTCAAGCCAGGGAAGCAAAGGGCGTCGGTGGTTCCCAGCCATCCGGCTCCTTAGCTTTTTAGCCTTTTAGTGTTTAGTGGGGATTCCATTTATCCCACTAAAATAAAAGTTAGATTCTTAGCGGGGGATCTGAGGGCAGCTCAGGGTGTTGGTTCATTTTGACCGCGGGACGGTCATGGAAGTCGAAACCCGCTAAGGAGTGTGTAACAACTCACCCGCCGCATGGACTAGCCCCGAAAATGGATGACGCAAGCGCTTCGTCAATGAGTAGGAGGGCGGTGGGGGTTGTTCAGCAGCTGTGAGCCTGCTTCTGGTGCAGATCTTGGTGGTAGTGGCAAATATTCAAATGAGAACTTTGAAGGCTGGATAAGGGTTCCATGTGAACTGCAATTGGACATGGGTTAGTCGATCCTAAGAGAGAGGGATGTTCTGCACATGCAAGCGCCGCTTCGTTCCTCGCAAGGGAATGGGATGAATCTCCCCCAGCCGGGACATGGATACTGTACGGCAACGTAAGGGAATTCGGCGACCCAGAGGTGAGCCCTGGGATTCGTTGTCTTTTCTTCTGAACCGCTTTGTACCCTGGAGTCAGATTAGCTGGAGATAGGGTAAGATCGCGGGTAAAGCACCTTGTCCTCCGAGGTGTCTGGTGCGTTCTCAACTGGTAGGTGGCTCTGAATTTTAATGCTTGGAACCCCCGCAAAAGTGGTTGGTTGACATAAATCCCCACCTAAATGATGTCCACCAAAGGCTCCCTAATTAAGATTCATAGCCATGTGGGGAAGGTTTGGAATCGCCTCAAAAAATGATTGGTGGACATGAACCCCCATGTCATTCATGACCTCCAATGAAGATTTATTTGCACCCAGTTGTGAACCAGGGTCAAACACTCATGAGGGGGGGCATTTCCCTTTAGGATTCCACAGAGCGGGCTTTGGGTCGCCAGCTTCTGTTTGCTTTTCACACTTGGAGGTTGCCCTCCCATCCGAGCCATAGGATCGTATCCGGCGGTGCCTCACAAAGGACAGCCGAGGCCTTCCGGGCGATCGCGTCCTTGGCTGTCCTTTGGTCCTCTTTGGGTTTCCCTTTGGGCGCAGAGGTTCGCCTCTTCTTTTTGCTGGGATGTGGGTCGGCGCTGTGACCACTTCCAGTTTGGTCCTTGTGAGCCATTAGAAATCGGAGTCCCTCTTTGTAGGCCCAGCTCATCCCGGCCAAACTTCCGGGGCAAAAGCTGAGTCGGACCAGGGGTCTTTTGACAAACATCATTCAAGGCATGAACAAACAAATAGAACACTCCCACTAGCTTTCTCTTCTTCTTACCAAGTCACAAAGCCTTACAAAAGACTTGCCCTCGGTCTCGGAGAATCACCTGATTGGGGTGTTGTCTGCGATGGTCATGAACCTGTTCAGGATCTTCGGGCATGATTTAGAAGGCTTTCAATGTTGCAGAGCCCTCTCCCTGCGAGTTCTGATGTTCGGGTTGGAATCGTGTTGCCGGAACCACTTGAAATGCCACGAGCACGGCCGTGCCCGTGGAATTGGCAGGTCGGTGGTGCTGCTTGCCAGACCAGCTGGGGGCCCCACGTGGGTCGCGGGTTGAACCTGGCTAGGAATGCTGACGTCTCGAATGGGGCGTGGGGAGAAGGGCAGGGGTCTGAGGTAGATGGAAAGTATCCAGTCTACCGCAATCGAGAGAAAGTGTTCAGGACTTCTGGGCCCTTTGAAACTTGGGGACGTCTTCACCTCTGCCCTTCTTGAGGCTTCGTGCCGCATTGCGCCATGATTTTTGCCAGAGGAGAGGACTAGCCTGGGTTCTTTTGTGTGATGCCGAGCCTCCAATGGTTTGTTTGTGAACAGACAGTATTGCCAGGGTATCGGTTTTGGGTGGCCCCCTATCGGTTTTGCCGGTGGGTATGTGTCCCCTGCCCTAGAGATACGCGTCCCATTGGTTGATTGGGGTGAACAGCCCCGTTTACAAGTGTGTCTCGCCCGCAGAGATACACCTCAGAAAGTTGGGGCACTGAACTGAGGCAATGCAAGGTGAGCAAGCGTGGGGCGCCACGCACTTGGCGCGAAGCCGCCGGGGCTCCGCTCGTGTGTTACAAGGATCCCTTAGCTGTCCCTTGGGGTCGGTTTGAAAGTCGATAGATTTCACTGGTTTCAGTTTGGTTCCCGCTTCTTATCCAAAAGGGCGCCTAGAAACAAGCCCGACCACAAATGCCTGGTAAATGGCGGTAGGTTACCAGGGCACATAGCAACCACTTGGATCAAGCTATGGTCAAGCTTGCTGCTTCTTCATGACTATTTGTAGAACTAGACGAGGCAGGAACTGTCCAGATCCATGAACATGTGGTGACCATGCAATGACAGTAGTTGTAAATGGGGATTGAGCCCAAATCAGTTGTGAGCGCAGCTCTAAAAACATCACCGCAGTTCTTCCAAGGCGGCCGAACCCGGTCAACCGCACAAAAAAACGCTCAAGGAGCAGGCAGAGGCGACTGGGCGGGAGTGACCCTTGTTTTGCTGAGCACACCAAAATGGTTGAGTGCCTGACTGGGGGAATCAGGGAAACCCAGTGTTGGCTTCACTTGCAATCTATAGGCCGTCCCCTGGCCGTCTAGCCCCCAACTACAGACCAGATTCAGGTGCAAGCTGGTGATGCAGGAGGGTGTCTTTCCAAGTGATCCCAGATGCTGATGATGCAGCTGGTTTTTGGCACAGGGATGCATATGGGTGTGTGTTTTCTTGAGGGTGCCCTTTCTCACCGTGGTGACAAGGGGAACTAAAAGCAAAACCACAACCTTTCAGATCCCCCTACTTAACATATACTACCCATGTCTACAAGGCGTCTTTCGGATCGTATCTTTGGAGAGGTTGCACCCGACTTTGTGCCTCCCGCGATGGGTTTCGGTAGGGAATCGCAAGGTTGGGTTTCGTGTTAATCTGTAGACAATTATGCCCTTTCTTTTCGTGAGCCAAGGGACGACGTGGCATGCCGTCCACAAGGGGAAAAGATGTGGCTCCCGAGTTCACCGCAATCAGCGAGTGTTGAGCTGATCTCATTGAAGATCCACCGGGACGCGGGTTGGCCAATCCTCATCAGTGAGCCCGAGAAGCAACGGACCACATCAGAGGATTGAAGTGTTCTTAACGGACTGCCCAGTTTTTGGTTTGCCTTTTGAAACAGGAGTTAAACAGGAGTTAAACAGGAGTAAACAGGAGTTGCACCTGGGTCCATGTTTTTTTTTCTCCGGTTTTTTCTAGGGAACCCCCTAAGATGGTAGTAAGAGGGTAGTGTGAACCCTTCACCCGCTGGTTTCCCTCCTTGAAGCCAAACAGCTTCCCGACACCGGGCAACGGGCGTGCCGTGTCGGTGAGGCGCGGGCGACGAGAGCGCCGCGGAGGCGAAGGCGGAGCTCGGCGCGTTTTCGATCGCCGCGAAGGGGCGGAGGCAAAATCGCGCCGGGCGCAGAGGTGTTCGTTTTGACTTGGACAAATTGCTGGCGATGCCTGGTTTACCTGGTTCAAACAGATTTGGTTGATGCGGGCGGACAAAAATGAGGGCGATTCCTGGTTTTACCTGGTTCAATCAACCAGGGTTATGTATTTTCCCGAAAAAGGATGGCCAGGCACCGGTGGGCATGGATGAAGGTGCAGGAATAGCAGTGCCCATCCAGAGTATTACTTCCCCGCAGATGTACATGGAATCTCGGGGTGCTCCAGGAGGAGATTCCTGTAAAAAGCAACAAACCTTTGGTGGGTTTCATGCTACTTTGGGGATGAGCGGTAACTTAAGTATGGCAATAAGTGTAAAAAGACTGAGAACACCCAGAGAGCACCCAGGGAACACCCTCAAACATGGTTGGTGCACATACATCTCACGTAGATGCCCGCCGGCATCACCACAGGTGTCCTTATTGGGCCATTACCTTCTGAACCATCACTCCAAACCAAGCCACATAGACCCTGGTTGATGACCCCAGTTATTATGTTGAGGGGACTCAATTGAGTGAGGATTCCTTTCTTCTAAAGGTGAGACTCCCATACTAGGGTCAGCTTCAAGGCGTATCCACTCTGCTTGAGGTCAGCCAAAGAGTGAGCCAGCGCCAGAAGCCGACCAGAAGGACCCGAGAAAAGCGGAAACCGCATGGCAACTTCGAA